ACTCAAAATTGCCCGCCGATGATCCTACTCGAATTTTCAGGTTTTTTAAAGCAGTAAGTCCCAGTTTTTACAGTACACCAACCTTCGGGGGATTAAGCAAGGAACAATAACCAGCCGCTACTACGGTACAGTGCATGTCTGTCATGTCTGTCAGTGTCGCATATTCTAATTCTTAGTTAGCACTGCATCGTAGAAGTGGCTGGTCCTTATTCCTTGTTCAATGCACTGAATGCTGGTGTCCTATAAAAATTATGGCTTGCTGTTTAAAAGAATTACAAATCAACTAGGATCATCGGCAGGCAATTTTAATTTACTTCTGCTATTGTCTCCGTGCAAGGATGTTGCCGAAATATTCACAAATCTATAAATCTCCATTCTCCTGGTTTTTCTCCGAGGAATGAGGCTATAACTATTGTCTTATGTATGTGAATAATGCTCCTCACAAATGCACTAACAACTTACGAAACTATTTGAAAGCACCCGTTGAATGCATTTCCATATAATTAGCCCACCATCTGTTTATTAAGACTCTGCGGTGACCCCCAAACACATCCCGTCAGGACATTGGAAGCACTGTTTTGCCGTAACAGTGGGTCTCGCTGAAAACTGACTGCGTCGCCTGGGTCCTCCTATCGATCCTGGCACGTGGGCGTTTCGTTGTTTTCCTTAAAATACTCGTCGTCGGCGAGTGAACGATTAGCGTGTTTTGTTCACTGGCCCCAAAGGAGCCACGACTGGGGGGAAAAAATGTGGAAAAATATAGCGATAAGTGAGAAATCGTCGCAAAGCTCCAAAAACAACGAGAACAGAGTGGGATCAGTAATAGTTCCGTTGTGTCAAGTTGATGACAACATATGTCACGTCAATGTTTAGCCTGGGCAAACAACCTAAGCTTAGTGTAAACACCAGTGCCTGTGTGCCTGGTGATAAAAGAGCTGTCACCAAGCACGCTCGGGTGTGCCTGGGTCCAGGCACATAACAGCCGAGCCACGAACAGCGTCCGTCTACTAAATGTAAACTAAATCCCAAGAGCGCTCCACTGCCATAAAGCAATAGTGAAGCAAGTTTTCCTCTGTTCTCGGCTCCCTCTAGCGCTCCAAACACCGGTTAGCCTCCACGTAGGTCACCATAATGTGGGGAGCAGCCAAGTGACGGATGGAGGCCGCCGTTTATCTATGCTCGCCGGACTTGGCCACCTTGCCGGGCCATGCATAATAGTGCCGGCCCGACGGGCGACGCTGGCGGGCTGGACACCGATACATGGAGCGTTGCGGTCGCGATCCCAGAGGTCACCGAACTGAGGGAGGCTCGATGACTGTGGCGTTGTAGCGATGGCCGTCTTAATAAGGGCTTCGAGTATGCACGGGGCCTTCAGACCTTCAATGAGGCCAGGGGCAGAGACCTTCAGTGTATAACAGGCTCTGAACGCCTTAAGGGGTCCTGAGCGGCCCGATGGATTCCGGACACCTATAGAAACATCTCAATGGTTAAAGGGTTTTTTTTTAGCGGCCAGAGCGATCCCACAGCAGCCAGACGTCCAGCGAGCAGCTGAAAGACCTCTGACCGGCTAGAGGGGCACTGAGCAGACAGAAAGGTATGTCAGTGACTGGGAGTTCCCCGGTGGTCAGGGTGGCTTATTGTTAAAACCGGGTAAATCTACACTGACCACTTGTATGCATGTGACACGCGGCATGGGCAGTCGCCCACGTCACACGACGCTATTGGCCGTTCAATTGCCTGTTAAACGATGCCAAGTCCCTGTCGATCCGACGCGTGCCACCGTGATCTGGCCACGGCTTCAAACTGCTGCTCGTCGACTTTGTCGCGGGCCGCATTTTCGGGCCCCCGTACAAAACCAACGGGCCTAAAACGACCCTTCCGGCACGTGTCATGACCGCACCCCAGACCGCAGCGGCTCGCGAGCTACCTGTAAACAACCGTCTCGTGCGCCGGGGGTCGTGTCCAGATTTCCCCATTCAGCGACCGGCCGTTTGATCCGGGCAAGATGTAACGCAAAATGAGGCAGACAGACAGACAGACGCACTCAGAAAAACCAGACTGGCTCAGAGCACCCATACTTTTCCCGAAAAGTTGCGCATTCTGGGACACCCCGATTATCGGGTGTGGACGTCAGCGCGGTTCCCGTCGGGCGACGAGACCGAAAACCGCGCGAGTTGGGGAGTTGATGGCGAGCGGTCTCTTCCGCGCAGGCAGCTTGGCAGGCCCGTAACGCACATCACATAAGCGCTATCCATGGCCACCATGCAATTTCTGTCTCCAGTCAGTTTTTTGCAAACTACCGATTGCAAGGTCATTATCCCATGCACTGCCAACTGGCAATTTCCCTGCCTTGGGCGGTACAGGGGCATAGCAACATTCAGCACGCGCGAGATCCACAGCCCTTCAAAGCTTTTCTTGTGCACAACAATGCAAACAAAATTCAGGTTTAACAACGCGGGAAAGAGCCATGCGCCCCCCCCCCCCCCCCATTTCTAGCCTCTAAACCTAAACACGAGTGACGGCGGATGCTCTAGAGCGAGGAGCTAGGGTAGGGGTGAAGGTGAGAATAATAATTTGTTCATCTGGCACTTGTGTACATCGCTTCCTGTCATGTAACGCAAAACAGCCGATACCCATTTTCCAATACACGGAGCGGGGCACCCACACCGCTCCCTCCTTCCGGTTCCAATGTCCCTGCGTTCTACGCCACACACCGCCCTATTTTCAGCGCATTGATGAATCTAATGTGGCCGCTCCAGAGCCCATCCCCACCCATCCATACCACCGGCGTTTTTGGCGCACGCGACACCCAGCACGCCACGCTCGCGGGGATGGGGCGCGCCTACAGGCCGGCGCGGCTGGCGGGGGCACCGACCGTCTGCAGGCGGCTACGCAGGGGCGCACGTAGTCGCGCCAGCCCGGGCGGCACAGAGTCAGCCCGCGCTCCACTGGTGTAACACGGCTGGTACGCTGCAGAGTCACCACTGACCGGTTTTTGAGTCACGTGCCACCCGACTGATGCCCCCATTTAATCTCCGAAAGCCCATCGCACCGACCGCAGCAATGCTGTAAATTGGATAACAATAGCCAAAGCATGAGCGCCACATGACCAGGGTATTCGGCGCGCCCTTAAGCCTAAATCATCATCGCCATCATCAACATCTATGACCAAGCCGTTTGACAGGTCACTTTTTGGATAACTCTGAGAACTTCCTTTCCTTCTACGTGCTCGCTGACAGCCGCTCACTAGGATGCCGTCTATTTACGTGACACCCAGCGAGCCGTCGAGCCTGAGCTTCACCTCGGGTTCAACCGGTCCGTCTGACCGTGTCCGCGATGTGGGGGCAACATCTGGCTTTCCCTTCCATCGCCAGCTCACCTGTGGGCGGCCGCGCCACGTCAGAAACAGAGGCATTTCAATAGTACGCGGGAAGCCCAGGTGTACCCCCGGCCGTGACTCACCGCTGACCCGGCACGCCACTCGTCCCCAGAAGGAACAGGCTCGGCACGCCACTCGTCCCAGCTGGAACAGGTCTGGTGGCGGAGCAGGTCGGGCACGCCACTCGTCCCCAGCAGGAGCAGGCTCGGCACGCCACTCGTCCCAGCTGGAACAGGTCTGGTGGCGGAGCAGGCTCGGCACGGCTACCCGCTCCCAGCGGGAGCAGGCTCGGCACGACCACTCATTCCCAGCAGGAGCAGGCTCGGCACGACCACTCGTCCCAGCAGGAGCAGGCCGGCACGACCACTCGTCCCAGCAGGAGCAGGCCGGCATGACCACTCGTTCCCAGCAGGAGCAGGCTCGGCACGATCACTCGTTCCCAACAGGAGCAGGCCCGGCATGACCACTCGTTCCCAGCAGGAGCAGGCCCGGCATGACCACTCGTTCCAGCAGGAGCAGGCCCGGCATGACCACTCGTTCCCAGCAGGAGCAGGCCCGGCATGACCACTCGTTCCCAGCAGGAGCAGGCCCGGCATGACCACTCGTCCCCAGCAGGAGCAGGCCCGGCATGACCACTCGTTCCCAGCAGGAGCAGGCCCGGCATGACCACTCGTTCCCAGCAGGAGCAGGCCCGGCATGACCACTCGTTCCCAACAGGAGCAGGCTCGGCACGACCACTGGTCCCCAGCAGGAGCAGGCCCGGCATGACCACTCGTTCTCAGCAGGAGCAGGGTCGGCACGACCACTGGTTCCCAACAGGAGCAGGCTCGGCACGACTGCTCGCCGCGGCCTCGCGCCGGTCAGGATGTCAACTGAAAAGCCCACGGGCTGGGTTCGAGGATAACCGTAGTTTGTGTCTTGGAATAACAATAAGAGGTTTCGCTTCCACACGCAACCTCAGTGTATTCCGGTTATCGCGCACGCGTAGGGCGCTAGAAGCTCGACTCCAGGTACGGTTTACAGCATTCGCAATGTTTGTGTCGTGCCAACAGTCGCCAGCTTAAACCGACTTTTTAACAAGTGAACAGCAAGAAAGTCGTAAAGGTAAAGGAAACCGATCTGAAAAATAGCGCTGTGTTAAGCGAATATAACAATTCCCATGCCTTCACATCTTACTTTCACGCCTCCCTTCCTTTCATGCCTTTCCCATGCATTCGTCATGCGCATTCACATCATTCGCCGGGGAATCGCCCTTGCTGCATAGCCGGCACTGTTGTTAAGGCGATGGCCATGACAAAGTTACGAATCACCCAAGCCAATCGAGAACGAACGACGGAAGACGGAAAATAATTAAGTCGCTGATGGTTGCAGATGAGTGCTTAGGTGCAGGAGGGTATGCGCCCTCCCCTTCTACGACATCCATGCATGAAAAACTCTTCCGGCCTTGGGGCCGGGCAAATTTCCGCACTTTCGCTCCGCCCTCAGGCACGAGTTAACGCCTCCCGAAACACGTGCCTGACACCGCCCATGTGCACCCGTTTGACCTTGACAGCTGCAAACGACGCGGCGGGCCGGCACGGGTGGCGCCGCACAGCGGCGGCGTCCGACACTAGGTACGCAAACCAGCGGCGCCTGCATGAGACGCGCGGACCGTGGCGTCGCGTGTGGAGCCGCGCGCGGATATAGCGGCGTTGTGAACCGCCTGCGAGCGCATACGGGAACGAGTCCGGGCCGCGTGAGGCTGCAGGGTCACCAAGCCTCCGCAGCGCCGACCGCGCCAGTACGCCCGCTGAGCTGCATGTGACTCGCTCTGGGTCGCCGGGGCGGCAGGACGGTGTCGCACATGCGTCAGGTGCTGACAGCGTCCGAGTGAGCGCGCCTCCTCGTCGGTGCCGGCGACGGCGGAATGTCGACCAGCAGCAAGGGAGGTGATGCCGGCGCGGCCGCCGGGGAGCCGGCTGGCACGGAGTACAGCTTCCGTGCGGATGCCGACAAGGGGAACGTTGACGCTGGCGTGGAGATGGCGAGCCAGCCGAGCCGCCAGACGCCCCGCCGCGCCGTAGGCCAAGAGGACAATCGCGAGTCAACCACCCACTGCTGCCACATCTTCTTGACGGTCCTTTCCTGGTTCCTGGTGGTCGTGTTCTTCCCGTTGTCGCTGTGCTTCACCATCAAGGTGATACAGGAGTTTGAGCGGGCCATCATCTTCCGTCTGGGCCGGCTGGTGGCTGGCGGCGCCCAGGGTCCCGGCCTGTTCTTCATCCTGCCCTGCCTCGACTCGATCAACGTCGTGGACCTGCGCGTCATCTCGTTCGACGTGGCGCCGCAGGAGATCCTGACCAAGGACCTGGTGACCGTCTCCGTCGACGCCGTCGTCTACTACCGCGTCTTCGAGCCGACCGCGTCGGTGACGAACGTCGAGAACTGCGGCAATTCGACACGCCTCCTGGCGGCGACCACCCTGCGCACCGTTCTCGGCCAGTACTCGCTCGCCGACATTCTCTCGCAGCGCGAGACGATCGCGCACCTGATGCAGAACACCCTGGACGAAGCCACTGACCCTTGGGGCGTCAAGGTCGAGCGGGTCGAGGTCAAGGACGTCCGTCTGCCACTGGAGCTGCAACGCGCCATGGCGGCCGAGGCCGAGGCCAGCCGTGAAGCCAAGGCCAAAGTCATCGCGGCGGAGGGCGAGATGAAGGCGTCCCGGGCGCTGAAGGATGCTGCCGATGTGATGGCTGAGAGCCCGAGCGCGCTGCAGCTGCGCTACCTGCAGACGCTCAACTCCATCTCGGCGGAGAAGAACACCACCATCATCTTCCCCGTGCCCGTCGACATCCTCAGCAGTCTCACCAAGCGCTCCTGAGAGGCCAGCGGAGTGTGTCGGAAATTTGAGAGGGGGGGGGGGGAGGATGGTGAGGGTGGCCCGTCGCCAGTGCCTTCGAGCTGTGACTGCAGACCGGGCCAGGGGCCCGATCTGGCGTGTCATGTGAGATACTGCTTTGCACACATCGCGATGCTTCGTCACAGATCTGAAACAGATCTGAATGACTGCGTCACGTCATTGCATTAATGCGCGTGAGCCATGGCCATTGGTTATTCGCTTGCTGTTTACAGAGCTGACAACTGTCGCCTCCCCTTATTTTGCCCCCGACGCGACAGAGGAGCCATGAATGCCCCGATTCACATGCTTACGAAAAGCCCAAAGGCCCCAATGTGCCGTTGTAGGGCAGACTAGTGATAACAGAACCGAGCTCCGATGCTTATCTCATTACTCCCGGCGCTTCAGCGTGTGTTGTGTTGAGTGCACTGTGCTGATCTGTGGGGCTTTCTTGGGCCTTTTTATTAACATTTTCTTCAATAAAACATGCTAAAATGTTAAGTCCTGCGAGTCGTCACAAGGATCGTTGTCCGCGGTGTTGAGTAGGAACCGAAACACAAGCGTTTCGAGCGTAGCAAGATGTCCCATGTCGTTTTCCGACACCAGGTGACCGTTCCGGCTGCTCAACGTGCAGTGGACTTGCTTGCGTGGCATTTCAACCAAGCAGCAGCCACCAGCCGGCGCTTGGCCCTCAAGGAGGCAGCGATGTAACCCCAGGCACGTGGTAGCTCGGGTATTTCATTCACGAAACGTGGGCCTCGTGATCAGAAGGGATGACAGCATGCAAACTCAAATGCCGTCGATTGAGACCGCAAATGTCCATCATGCCTAGAAGAGACGCGAATAGAGTAAAGGCAGAATGGATGTCACCAAGTGGACGAACGAAGGCGCCGGTACTCTGTTTAATGATGTTATTGTACGACGCTCTCGGCCTAGAGTCACATTTCGAACATGCGTTCCTCTCTTTCAGGCCAAAAGCCGCCAACCACGAGGTATCCCGTGCCGGTCTGGGAGTTCCGCCGAGGACTGCTGTTAACGCACCGGATGCTGAGGGCTCGACGCGTGACCAGTGCGACGCTGCTATCTCACGATTTTCCGTCTAAGCGCCCGGCTGGTTCGCCAACTTCCAACCACACCAGCAAACATGAAACGACTTTGCCCTGCAGCTCTGCCGTCACTGCCAAGGCGAGCTCGTGCAATCAACACGTCACGTTCCGCCGGCCAGGCCCGGCCAGGTTGCCAGGAGCACGCGGACGCCCCGGCGCACCACAAACGAACCATTATTGAAGGTCCTGCAGGGCCCCTCACGATCACATGCGACCCCAAAGAAGCTTGCAAAGTGTCGTTGCAAAGTGTCGTTGCATGATGGCAGCGTCGTTGTGTATGCGACGGCCACCCGGTAACGCGCCAGTCAGGTCGCCAGAACGGTGAATAACGCCGGCTGCAGCCGGGACGCGTCATGCAGTATTAAATGGCATGCTTCCCCGCGTCGCTGGTGGTGACCTTGGTGGTCCTGACCTCGGACAAATCAGCCGCTCACGCGTTCCGTGGTATGTGGGACTTCGAACACCGTGCGGGTAATTACACCACTTATTGACGGCAACGATGCATCACTGGGGGTACTACTACAAACGGGCATCACTGTGGCACTACCACTACTACTGCCCCAGGTCACCACCCTAGAAAGATGACGCGAAAGATACGCACTGATGCATCTCAGAACGAAGCCGCACCCATTTTAGTTAAGTTCACTTCGTGTGCATCTGGGACGATCGCAACTGGCAACGATAAGCCTGGTTTTCCCGTCAGTCCGGCGGCCAGAAACGACGGGGGCAGCGCCACTAACCAGCACACGGCCCGTATATTTGAACTAGTTGTGACCTCGCTACGGCACAATGCGGGTGCAAAAAGCCGCGCGCTTCGTGCTCCCGCAAATGGATGACTAGCGTTTGTTGCGTAGCGCGCTCCGCCGGCCTGATGACGCGTCTGGCTCCCTCCGCGCGCTGGCCGCCCTGGCGGGTGAGCGGCTCCCCAACAGCTGTGTTTGTCTCGCTCCCGTCACAGCAGCCCCCGCCAGCAGGCCAGCACGTGTGGGGTGCGTACGGCCGCCTGGCAGGAACTACGGTCCACGCGGATGGGGGGAGCGCAGTCATCCCCCACGCAGCGGAAGGGCGCAGATGCCCGAGTATCGGGAGATTTCCTGCAAGGCCGCCCGCCGCGCGCGCTGCCCCAGCCCGGCGCTGGGTACGTCTCTGCGACTTGTAAACACGTGGCTTCCGGTCGGTAAGACACCCCTTCCGGTTGACGCCACTAGCAGCACTCGAGGACCTAGTTCTAGTCCGACCTAGAGGACCTAGTTCTAGTCCTAGGGCCTGGTCCGACTGTATCCTGCTTGCGCCGTCGCAGGGCCGTCGCTTGCAGCGAACGGCCTGGCACTGGACCAGGGTGAGGGCGCCCACCAACTCTGGCCGGGGTTATGGCCTGCGGTTCTGGAGCGCGACCAGTCCTAACAGTGACCAGCAGGCAGCACATCTGGACTGCTGTCGCTACGCGCTCTAGTACCTTGAAACGTGGAAAACTTCGCGTTTCAAGGCAGTGATCATCGTCACGAATGTGTGACTCGCACCTATGCTCACTCGTGATCAGATGAACACCGCCTTGAAACGTAAAGATTTTTCATCCCCTACACCAATGATTGCTTGATAACGCGTACAACCAGCAATACTTAAGTCCGTTTTTCAACACAGTAACGCGTAACGCCTTCATAACATCAGTAGCGCTAGCTAAACGAGGACAATTTAGGAAATGTGACAGAGGGAGTCACCCTCCGGCGGACATGTCAGGAGTTTCGCTGGAGCTCCACCCTCCGCCAGACAGCCGTGCTGTTTCAGCGACAGAGGGAGTCACCCTCAGGGGGACATGTCAGGAGTTTCGCTGGAGCTCCACCCGCCGTCAGACAGCCGTGCTGTTTCAGCGACAGAGGGAGTCACCCTCAGGGGGACATGTCAGGAGTTTCTCTGGAGCTCCACCCGCCGTCAGACAGCGTGGTGTTTCAGCGGGACCTACCTGTCGCAGACGCGTCTGCAGCGCCTGCTCCGGAGCGTCGGCGTCAGCCGAGGCGGTCCCGGTGGGCGACACTGAGGTGCGGCCCGAGTCGGCATCCTGGCTCGGCGACAGAGTCACCTCCTGTGGACAGGTCAAAGGTGTGACTCACCACGCAGGCCCCTGATCCGCTGGCGGGCCAACTCCTGGGATAGACCAGGGGTCAAGTTTCGACCGGCTGCGCTTCGACTTCCGGCTTCGACCGGCTTCGACCGGCACACATGATCTACGCTTAGAGTGAGTTCCCAAGGCGCACAGGGCTGGATATCTGGCGATCAGACCAACCATGCAAACACGATGTTTTTTTTTGTCTTGTCAAGGGAAGTGTGCTAACCATGATGGTTCGCGAATAATCAATCAACACGAAAGGTACAAACGTTACTTGGGACGCAACGTCACTGCCTAAAGAGGCATCCGGGTCTCACCTCTACCCTCCACCGTCAGTGGCCTCAAATGGTATGCATCAATGAGGAATATTGCCATCGAATGTCACGCCCTGTTCAGGAGTGCGGGAGCTGTGTGCATTGCCTGTTGCTTGGAGGCTTGTATTTGCTGGCGGGACGAAATAGATGTTTGAAGCCACTGCGCGCGCCGAATTTAAGCGAAATAACTGTTCCTTAAGTTTTAAAAATGGCTGCCGCGACTGACAAAACAATGCTTTTGTTCCCAGCCTACGGCCGGACAGCGAGACGTACGACTCCGGCCAACTCCGGTGACAGTGCCAGGCCCGGGCCCGAGTAGCCCGGCCCGCCTCTGGGCTGTCTGGCTCATTGGGCCGCGGTTCGCTGGCAGGCCAGCTGACTATTTCTGGCGTATTTACGCGGAAAAGCGGGGTTTGATTACCATGTCCTACAGTGGCTTCTTTCACACGAGTTTCCCTGACACAAAACGTCGACACCTGGTCCCAGTTATGCCCACTTTAGTGTCGGCTGTTCCCGTGTATTTGAGGCGTCTGCCCTCTCACCGGGTCACCGCCGGCCTGAACACGTGAGCGCTGTGAGCGTGGCTGAGCAGCGGACCCCACTCCACTGACCTGAGCACCGGCGGGCTCGCACTCGACGATGCGCACCGGCTGTGCGTACTGCAGCTCCATCCCCTGGTCACCGGTGCCGCTGACGTCCAGCGGTGACGTCACTTCCAGCGGTGGCGTCACGTCCAGCGGTGACGTCACGTGGCCACCGATGTCGGTCGGCGACGGCGGGGGCGGTGGAGGGCGGCAGCGCCGCGCCCACGGGGGCGGCGGCGCGCAGCCGGTCCGTGGCGGCGCTCAGCGGCGCCGCGATTTGCAGCACCGGCGCCGGCACGGCCTCCGAGACTGGGAAGTGCAGCGCATCGGCCGCTGGCAGCACCTCCACAGACGGCGACACCCTCGGCGGGCCCGCCAGCTCCGGCGCCGGCGACAGGCTCGTCACCGTCGGAGCTGGTGACAGATCCAGTCTCTCGAGCACGTGGCGGAGATCCGCTGCATGCGGCTCTGACGGCAGATCGGTCACCCCCGGAGCTGGGGGCAGATCCAGTCTCTGAAGCACGTGTTGCAGATCCTCCGCATCGGGCGCTGGCGGTAGATCCACAGAGTCCGACGCCTCATCTAGGTCCGGCGCGTTAGACGCCGGCTCAGATCCACGCGCTAGTGCGACTGATTGTTCCGACCCCAGTGGCACCACATCGGCCCCATCACCGGCCCCCGCCGGTTTCCCGTCCGTCGGCAGCTGGCGCTCCAGCATCTGCAGCTGCGTCTGCACCGTGAGCACGCAGGCGTCCAGCCGGCTGAGGCGGCGCTGCAGCTGGTTCAGCTGACGGGGCGGCGAGCGGGCGGCGCCCGGCCGCGCGCACAGCTGGGCGGCGAACGAGGGCTGCTGCAGCACCTCCCGCCGCTCGGGCCGGTACAGGGCCGGCGCCGTCACCACCACCAGCGCGCCGGCTGCCTGCGCGGCACCGGCGCCGCCCGCTTCCGCCGCCGCCGGGCTCTCGGCGCGCGCCGGGCGGCCGCTGACGGCGGCGTCCGGGGACGGCCCGGCGGCGGCGACGGAAGGACGCCCCCCGCTCCACGTCCGGCGCAAGGCTCGCCGCCGGCGCTGCGGCGGGCCCGCTCCCGGCCCGGCGCGGCGGCGGAGGGCTCGGGGCCGGCGTCTGGCGGAAGCTCACTGGGCGCGCCGCCGCTGCTACTGCTGCTGCACAGACTGGCGCTGAAGTTGGAGCCGAACGTCAGCAGCGGAGGGAAGTCCTCATCCAGCAGCTTCTCCAGCGACGGCGTGCGCGACTTGCTGCGCCAGGCGGCCCAGCCGGGCAGCTGCAGGTCCGGTCCGTCTGTGTCGTACACCCACTCTTCCCCCAGGGAGGGCGGCTCCGTGTCCTGCTGCACGCACCATCGCGACACATCGCGTCAACGCATTGGCTGGGGATCGACTGAACGTAGATTTTAGGTGGGCTTATCTTGAGCTAGATTGTACGAAAGAGGGTAACTAGTCATCAGTGGTCATTTGAAGCTGTTTTCTCATCACTTGCACCACAGTGAGCCTCATCTGTTGCGATGGTTGTGTGAGGCACTGAATTTGTCGGTCATTATTTGCTCCTCTGCGCCCCTCGGATTGGACAACTCAAAGCAAGCACGTGCTTAGGAAGTTCTTATCAATTGAAACAGATGAGCAAAGCAACACGTCTCTCTTGCAGCTTATTACGCTTGGATCATCAGCAAGACGTCTGGCATTACTCCATAACATCCGTTTCCGTTCCGCGTGTATCCGCGAAAACCGCGGCGTCCCTCGACCGCAGCGTGCGCGCGTCACCTGCGACTCGGGCGTGGAGTCCCTGGCGGCGGAGCCGGTGCCGGCCGCCAGGTCTGCAGACACGTAGTCGGAGCCGGAGACGGAGAGCGCCGCCTCAGCCGTGCGGCACTCCGTGGACTCGGCCGTCAACCAGTCCGAGTCGGCCGACCGCCACGAGGCCGAACGGCACAGCACGTTCCGACCGCCGTCCTGACGACCACATGGCTGCGGTCACGGCCGGACAGCGGGGCGCTCGTCCACGCGGCGGGCGGCGAGGCGCCAGCGCCGCCGCAGCCGGCCGGACAGCGGGGCATACGCCCACACGGCGGGCGGCGAGGCACCAGCGCCGCCGCAGCCGGCCGGACAGCGGGGCATACGCCCACACGGCGGGCGGCGAGGCACCAGCGCCGCCGCAGCCGGCCGGACAGCGGGGCATACGCCCACACGGCGGGCGGCGAGTCACCAGCGCCGCCGCAGCCGGCCGGACAGCGGGGCATACGCCCACACGGTGGGCGGCGAGGCACTCGTCCATATGGTGGGCGGCGAGGCGGCGCAACACCAGCGCTGCCCCAGCCCCGGCTGACGGCGGCACCTCTCCGTCAGCCGGTCCGCGAGCATGAGTTTGCTCCTGCTGATGCTATCACCTCGTCTAACCGCCAAGTCGCTATCTTCGTCGACATCGTCTCAGCTGTCGTCTTCATAGCAATCAACCCCGTCATCAGTATCATCGTTGTTGTCGTTATTACCATAACAACAATGATTAAAGGCTAGTTATAGTCGTAATAATCATTATCACACGCTTTGACCATTATCTTTGGGACAATAACGACTATCGCCACCACAGACGCCCCGATCATCGCCAGACAGCGGGCGCGCGGCGCCGCGGCCGGCAGCAGCGAGCTCCCCCCACTTCCCCACGGAGGGGAACTCACTTCGGCGGCGTCGGCGGCGGCTTCCGTCTGGCCGGCGTCCGGCGGCGCGCGCGCCTGCCGCGATACGGGCGAGCTCTCCATGACGGGTCCCGGGCCGGGCGACTCGGCCGTGCGCCGCCACTGGCGACACAGCGCGTCCAGACGCTGCCAGAAGGCGCCGACCTCGGCCAGCTTGGCCGAGATGGCCGCCCGGGCCGCGGCGTTCGCGTCCTGCTCCCTGCGGCGGCAGGCACGGTCGGGTTGGTGCGACGGGCTGGCGGTGTGCTCCGGCCGCGCCGGCGGCCTCTCAGCAAGCCGGGTGGTGACAGGGTTACATAGGAAGCAAGCCGGGTTGTATTAGCACATTTAATAAATTCTAACTTGTTCTTATCTTAATGTGATGATATTCGGTGTGGTGTACGCATAGACTGTATCGATCAAGCAGCAAGTATCCGTTACATAGCGAGAGGGGTTGCCAAATAAATTGGCCAAGTAGATGCGTTTATACATATTCAAAGCACACAGATATGGATTTTGCATGATCACGTTATCAACAACTTCGATAATGATCGGCAATCCGACGAATAATTATCCGCACCGGAATTCGTGCGGAAAGGACGGGAGATGTCCACCCTTTAAAAAACGCAGGTGCATGCCGAAAACCTCGCATACAGCGGAGGCAGGCTTGCCGCACGCAAAGGGATCCCGGAACTGCCTTCGGGTTGAAACGCATGTCAGCCAGCTGACCCCAGCCCCCACACCGTCACCAGCCACGGGCCATGCGCGCGCGGCGCCGCTCCCCGCCGGCGCGTCGCGCCGGCCTCGGCGGGACGCACGCGCTCGGGCCACGGCCGGGGGCCTCGCCGAGGCCGGCGCGAGCCCGTGGGAGCCGGTCTAAAAGCGGACGGCTGCGAACGGCGCCGGACCGACAACCACCGGGAGAACTGTGGCTGCAGTGTAGATCAATCCTGTCGGACGCGCGGCCCGGCCGGCCGGTGACCCAGTGCCAGCTGGCGGCGCGGCCTCTGGCACTCGCCCGAGGGCGCGGGAGCGAGAGTGGCCCGTGGAGCGTCACGCGCTCGCGTCACTGGCTACTTGAATCGCGGCCAGCCGCCATCTGCGGTGGACTGTTCGGACTTCTGTTCGGCCGCGCGTTCCTCTCAAATACCTCGGGAGGATGTAGTCAGGGCAGAGGCCCAGGGAGGAAGGGCAGCAGAAGCCCGACCACGTCAGGAACCAGATCCCTCAATGAGTTATAGTCACTTGCCAAAAGGCGCTGGCTGATTTTCTCATTAATGGAGCCAATGACAAACGGTCTGACTACTTTAAGCCAAGTCGTCATTTTTCAGATCAAATCAACAAATATTGCGAGCTTTTAATCTAGGAAATAGGCGCCCGCGCCCCTGGGCAAGCAGCGGTACGGGGTTCTATTCCCCGTGGTGGCTTCCCTTTCTGCCACCGTGAGATACAGCCGACGTCACACAGCCCCGCTGCTGCGTAGGTCAACCTTCATGTCAACATCGGCAACGGTCTTAACCTCGCAGTGCCAGTGCTTCACCACGCAGACGTAACCGTCTTTGTCGGAAATGATCCGCATCCTCTTATGCACCTCCACGGCTTCATCCTCTACACCCTGGCAACGCCCCGCCCCACTGAAGGGTGCTGCGTCCGCCAGCTGCGCGCACCTGGCTTCACCGCCGTCCCCCCTGTAACCTCTCCCGAGTGCCAGCGTCAGGACACTAAACTAGCGGACCGTCGTGCCAGCGACGAGCCGTATGGTGCAACCAAAGGTGGACCGGAGGCGACCGGTTAAAACCGGTAGCCGGCACAGACCAGTCGCCTATACAGCCGGGACATGAGAGCTGAAAGCATGCCGATCCACTGCGACAGCCAGTCAGCGCCCATAGATGAGTTCGACGAGCGCAGCTAAGCCGAGACGCGACCCATATCAGAACGAACGGTTGACGGTCGTCCCACTACGGCGTCCCACGACCAGAGCACTCCCAACTGCCCACATCACAGAACGGTGCCCCGGGGCAGAGCTCCCTCCCCTGGGGGCAGTGCCCGGCGGGCAGCTGTCAGTCCAGTGCCCCCGAAGGACAGTCGCCGGCCCCTCACCTCTACTGATGGAGCACACAGAGCACACGGTGGGCGGCGGCTGGCGGTGGTCTCGGCTCTAGCCCTCGGGCGACTGTCACCGGCCGCCTTGGCGCCCGTGCCCCCCCCCCCCCCCCCTAAGCCCCACCCCCACCCACCCGGCGTCACTGACGCACCCGGCGCAGAGGCGGCGGAAAAATTACCCGCGGCACCGACGGTGTCGGCGGCGCTGCCAGCAGTCTCGTTTTACGGGGCGCGGAGTGGCCCCAAACCGTCGGAAGCGAAGGCCAGGGCCAAAGCACAACGTTTAGGTGAAGAGATGCGGCGCGAAATTCGATGAAATTGTAACCAGAAGTGACCGCTCCTCGTTACTCGGGGTGTTTCGTTACCTTATGCTTCTTAATGGCGTTCCATAAATGCTCGAAAAGTCGTATGTGCGTGAAATGTACACTTCCAAAAAACATGCGTGGACATTCTACCATTAGAGTTTAGCCCTCCGACAGCCATTATCCGTCGTATGCCACAGCGTTCGGAATTCAGTCACATCGCCGAGGTCAACAATTGACTTCGCCATTTTCATGTTTTCTATGAATTATAATTTCTATGAAGCTCTTTATGGTTTTAGCGGCGTTTTGGAACATTTTCTTGACGCGTCTCAATCCTTTTTCCTTCCTTCCAATCCTTATCGGCTTTTGCGGCCGTTTACTCGCCCCCGATGCTCTGCTGCAGCCGCTCACCGGTCTGGGGGTTTTCTGCGACCGCTCACCTCCTTCTGATATTGTCCTGCAGTTACTCATCTGTTTCCGATTTTCTTATGAAGCATCTCACCTGTTTCCTGCTCGCTCCTGCCCACGTTCACCTATCCCCAAGGTTCTGCAGCTTCTCAGCTGTTCATGAGGATATCCTGCAGTCGCTCACCTGTCGCCGAGGTTCTCTTGCAGTCGCTCACCTGTCGCCGAGGTTCTCCTGCAGTCGCTCACCTGTCGCCGAGGTTCTTCTGCAGCCTCTCAGCTGTTCCTGAGGCTCTCCTGCAGCCTATCACCCGTCCCGAGACTCTCCCGCAGCCGCTCACCTGTTCCCCAGGTTCTCCCGCAGCCGCTCACCTGTCGCCGAGGTTCTCCTGCAGCCTCTCAGCTGTTCCTGAGGTTCTCCCGCAGCCGCTCACCTGTTCCCCAGGTTCTCCCGCAGCCGCTCACCTGTCTCCGAGGTTTTCCTGCAGCCGCTCCCGCAGCAGCTTCCCCAGGCGCACCGTGCGGCCCACATCTCGCAGCAGGGTCTCGCGCTCGCTCAGCTGACTGACGATGACATCAGAGGAGTGGGACGTCGAGGACGGAGACGATCGCGGCGAGGAGGAGACGGATGAGGCGCGCAGCCGCGGGCTGGACGTAATCTGGCGCAGGCGCTGGATTTGCTGCGGAACAGCGGATCGGTGAAAACATGTTGCCAGGGAACGGTAACAATCGTAGTGCTAAAGTATATAAATCTAGTAAAAAGTATTTACCTTAATGGCTATTTAGGCTAAAAAATCAATGCCTAATCTGCATGGTTATCATATGAAAGATTTCAGGCACCACCCTTGGCAGAGAATGCATCCCGTATATGACAACAACCGCATAGAATCCGCTGCAACAATGTCGAAAGAATAACGGCAATGGGAAGGGCCAGTCTTCTTCACGAACCCCTCTTCACTGAGACTACGTCTACAGTGATCCCTGACCCCCCCCCCCCCCCTCTCCCCCCGGACCGCTAGCATCACAAGTCAGCCACGGCGCCAGCAGCCGGCGGTGCGCCTAGCGCGCGCCGCCGACCGTACCTCGTCCGCCGTGCGGTGGAACACGGCCGCCACGCGGAGCCGGGTGATGTGCTCTTGGGAGGCGGCGCGCAGCGCGGCCCAGGCGGTCTGCAGGCGGCGGTCCAGGGCCTGGCACACCTCGTCGCCGCCCAGCCGGCCGGCCGCCGCGCAGGACTCGGCGCCGTACTCGTACGTGCACTGCCGCCGGCCACGGACACGCTCTCAGCGGGCGGACGTGCGGGCAGAGAACACGGCCGGCGGCGTGCACGGAACACGGGACGATGTGCTCGGAACACGGCCGGCAGGCGGCAGTTATCTCATGGTAGATGCAAACAGTGCGAGAAAACCGCGGGTGGGTGGACGCGGACGCCTATGAAACTGGTACTAATCTTCCGCACACAAAAAATCATACGCATCGCTTGAGAGCCTTCGCTGGCGCTTTTTAGTGAAACATCAGGTCAGGGTTAGGACAGCTGCCGGCCGGTTCAGTGATGCTGTCCCACCTTGGCGGTCTCCTCGAAAATGCTGGTGCTGCCGCTTCATCAGCTGGATTTCGCCGTTGTTGCGGCCCACCCTGCTGTGGCTGGACTCCAGCAGGTGACTGAGGTCAGCCAGCCATGACAGGGCCTGGGGTCAGGTCACGGGGCGTCAGTGATGCGGAGCGGAGGGACCGGCAAGGCCGCGTCTCACACCCTTGAAACAGTGTCTAAAGTTTAATTCCAGCGTGCTCGTTTTGCCATCAAAGCGAAACGGCTCCTCTGATTCCATAGTGAGAACCGACTGTACAACAAACACGGTTGCGGCTGCCCAATGCCCAGCGTGGCAGAGCCGCTCCGACCACCGGGGCCCGGCCCGCAATACAGCGAAGCTTTGCGGCACAGCATGCACCGTGCAGCCGCATCATGATAACTGCACAGCTGTGCATTCTGGCGACTACTTGTCCGAAGCTATCGTCTCCATCCTGACATGCCAGCGCCCTTTTCACACACCGGTGTTACACGTGCGGAAGTGGATTGTGCCAACAAAAGTAAATGAGCGCGAATCCAAACGTAAAATGTTTCATTAGGTTCTATTAACCCTTTTAACTTACAAAGCGAACACCTGCCTAACTCTTAAAACAGGTGCTCGCAGCGCGCGAAGGCCTGTTTTCGGAATAACAGCAACAGCGCAGGTGCTCTGATTCATATGCAGTCTCTTCAAGACATCTCAACTGTGTGCTTGTTCAGCAGCCTGATCTGCTCAGCCTCGGTCTGGCACTGTGCCAGCTGCAGGATTTGCTGCAACCTGAGGTCTACTGCAGCCTTTGTTCAGCAGCCTGACCTGCTCAGCCTCGGTCTGGCACTGTGCCAGCTGCAGGGTCTGCTGCAGCCGCAGCCGGCTGATGCCCCAGGTCTCCATCACCGTCTGCACGTGCTTGTGCAGGCGCAGTGTGAGCTGCTGCACCCGCTCCAGGTCGATGCTGCAGACACCGAGCCAGCGCGTGATGGAAGCCGTTCCCATGCGTTGGACCACTGACGGCGCTTTCTCGTGTGTATTTGCATCGAGCGCGGTGAACGGGATGCCACACTGCGGGAGTACATCGTACAGGGGAAGCATTGTCTCCGATGTTGCAAGGTGCGATGGAAGCGACTCTGTCATATTAGAGTCAGATTCAAAGAAGTTGGACCACTCAGACTCTTCCGCCGATTCATTAAATCACGGAACGTCCTCGGTTCGCCATCGCCCATGCAGGACTGGTTCGCTTTGTTTTCGGTTGCCCTTACGCAACCTAAAGCTAATTCTGTACTGAACTGCATGTATGGAAATGGCTGAGAAGTCCACGAAATTTATTGAAAATGCGGCTGACGGTAGTCCAATAGTGGAGCGTGTGTGGCTGGACGCCGTCGTGCTCGAGTCGAACAGAGTCTGCCACTCGCCTGTAGTCGGGCGAAATGTCCTTCCCCGACGCCGTCTTCACAGGCAGGGTGAGCATGTCCTGGAACTTCTCGCCGGTCCTGTTAAACTCGGCGAAACAGCGCTCTGCAAATACGGGCATGCACAGGTACGCATTTCAGCAGCCCTTTCATTCACGTGATAGCACTACCATCAGTGGTGTGGTCAGGCGGGGACAAAGGCATTATTCCCCTTGCAGCCCTGGAGGTCGCGGGTGCCCAATGACTTTGCGCATTGTAAGGCGCCCGAACGGCATCTGCAAAGCAGTTGGTCAGCCAAAACACTTTCAGACAACATGAAAAGCTCAGCATATGAGAAAATCAAGATAATGCGAGCAGGGCAGAGGAATACACAAAGCGTATAATCACAAAAAGCGTAGGGCTCCAGAAATCCACAAATGGGGTCGAAGAGCGTCAAAATGAAAAGATGGATCTGGCGGCCACAAAGCCGGAGCTAGCTGTAAGTATCCCATTAGCGCCAGGGGCCATACTGAGCATCCGAAAATACATATGGCGCTGCTCCACTGCATGTTGTGAACCGCCGCGATGGATTGCATAGGACGGCAAGATATGCTCCGTTTTCTACTTAGCAGACGTTTCATTGCCATGAAATAATTTTAACCATATGGGCCACCACTTGTTACGGTGGTGTCCTTAATCTTTCTTCAACCGCCCCCCTCCCCCGTGGCGAAATCCTAGGCGCGCCACGGATTACCACGCCCCTAAACTCACGTGGGGCGCATGGAATTGTGAAGAGCGCGAGCTCTTACCGGTGTCGTCGGCGACACTTGCATGGTCCTGAGCTTCTCGGCCACCTGGCAGACCTCGAGGGACTGGACGCCCTCGTCAGCGGCCTCCAGGAGCACCTCACACTGGTCTGACACCTGGCGGCGGGGGAGGAGCTCGTCAGCGGCCTCCAGTCTGACACCTGGCGGCGGGGAGGGGCTCGTCAGCGGCCTCCGGGAGCACCTCATACTGGTCTAACACCTGGCGGCGGGGAGGGGCTCGTCAGCGGCCTCCAGGAGCACCTCATACTGGTCTAACACCTGGCGGCGGGGAGGGGCTCGTCAGCGGCCTCCAGTCTGACACCTGGCGGCGGGGGAGGAGCTTGTCAGCGGCCTCCAGGAGCACGTCATACTTGTGTCTGACACCTGGCGGCGGGGAGGGGCTCGTCAGCGGCCTCCAGGAGCACCTCATACTGGTCTAACACCTGGCGGCGGGGAGGGGCTCGTCAGAGGCCTCCAGGAGCACCTCACACTGGTCTGACACCTGGCGGCGGGGGAGGAGCTCGTCAGCGGCCTCCAGTCTGACACCTGGCGGCGGGGAGGGGCTCGTCAGCGGCCTCCGGGAGCACCTCATACTGGTCTAACACCTGGCGGCGGGGAGGGGCTCGTCAGCGGCCTCCGGGAGCACCTCATACTGGTCTAACACCTAGCGGCGGGGGAGGGGCTCATCAGCGGCCTCCAGTCTGACACCTGGCGGCGGGGGAGGAGCTTGTCAGCGGCCTCCAGGAGCACGTCATACTTGTGTCTGACACCTGGCGGCGGGGGAGGGGCTCGTCAGCGGCCTCCAGGAGCACGTCATACTGGTCTGACACCTGGCGGCGGGGGAGAAGACCTGTCAGCGGCCTCCAGTCTGACGCCTGGTGGCGGGGGAGGAGCTCGTCAGCGGCCTCCAGGAGCACCTCACATTGGTCTGACACCTGGCGGCGGGGGAGAGGCTCGTCAGCGGTCTCCAGGAGCACCTCACACTGGTCTGACACCTGGCGGCGGGGAAGGGGCCTGTCAGCTGCAGCGCGTGCGGTGACGGCGCCGACAACACTGACCGGGGACCATGCGTTTGCAAAGTTATTCTGCCAAAGCCGTCGAAACCATTCTTTTCACCGAAAGCTTAATTTTTCGTGAAGTACGCAGGTAAGCAACGCACGTCATTTCCATCGACATGATTTCTTGTTATATTCGTACTCACTCTTTTTACCGGGCTTTCAATCTTCAACCTTGTTTAATTTTGTCTCTTCAAGTCAAAGTTCGAATTTGGTAGCAAGAGGTGGCATTGCCTCTAGGTCTACTTCAAAAACTGGTCAAAACGGGCGTGTTATCTGTTTTCTGGCTCTTTGAGATGGTAGACATCGACTGCTTTGTTGATTTTCCTGCTGCGGAACCGATTGAAGGCGGCATCACCTGTTCACATGTTCGGGAAGCCCGCAGAAGCCCGTTCACCCGCTTCATGATCTGGCACAAGCGGGCGCCATCGTGCGTTTACCTGCTCAGGGAGCCGATGTGAGCCTGACCGACTGCTTCGGCCTCCAGGAGCCGGCACAAGTGGTTGGTATGGACTGCTCAGTGGTTTACCGGTTTCCAAAGGCGATAGAAATCTGTTTACATGTTACAGGAACCAGTAGAATCGGGTGGTGCATCATGTTTTCCCGCTCCAGAGGCCATCAGAGGTCTGCTCACCTGCTCCAGGAGCCGGTAGAAGCGGGCGGCCGTGAGCAGAAGGTGTTTGCGCCGTTCCAGCCGGCTGGCCAGGCAGCGGCACACCGTCTCCATGTACTGACGCTGGCCGGCCAGACTCTCCGTCAGCTGACCTGATTCGTCGCCGGCGGCGGCCGCTTCCTCCAGCTGGCGCCGCAGGCTGGCGAACTCGGCGTACGTGTCCTGCGGCACGCCGGTCGTCACGGCACGGTACGGCACGGCACAGCCCGCCACGCTACGGCAGTGGTCACGCCACGCCACGTCACGCCGCGGCACGCCACGGCGCGCCACGCTACGGCAGTAGTCACCACACGCCACGTCACGCCGCGGCACGCCACGGCACGCCACGCTACGGCAGTACTCAACACACGCCACGGCACGGTACGGCACGGCACAGCCCGCCACGCTACGGCAGTGGTCACGCCACGCCACGTCACGCCGCGGCACGCCACGGCACGCCACGCCACGCCACACCACGTCATGTAGCGCCACGGCAGCGGTCACCACACGCCACGCCACGCCGCGGCACGCCATGGCACGGCACGGTATGGTGCAAACCAACCCTAGAAGTCCGGGGTGTGATACCTGCGTGATGTAGCACTCTACAACGGTCTACGAGCACCACTTTGCGTAACTGCGGCGGCGAAAATCGCTGCAGTTTCAGGAAGTGCACCAACACCAAAACACAAAGATAGGCAGATCTACA